AATTTGTCGTTTCATTCATTTTTTTTTGAAAAAGCAAAATTTGAAATTTTAACAGACCTGAAACACTTTATTTAAAACCACTCAGCAGCCTATGTGATTTCTTCTTTTATTTTAGACATTTATTCGCTCAAATGCATTTCTAATTAATTTAAGTGTATTTTAATTAATTAAAGAGTTTAATGTTTGTTCCAGCACTATTTCAGTAATGCTACAGTCAGAAACTTCTTCACTTTCATTACGTAACCTCTTTCTGTTCGTGTATTATCACAAATAATTTCAATTTTTGAATAAGCATAGCAAAGTTGACTGATAATACACATAAAAATATTTTCTGAGCTTAATATATATATATATATATATATATATATATATATATATATATATAAAATTTGCGAGTTTTTAAGATGAAAAAATTATTTTTCCAACTTCACTTTGTATTTAAATAAATCAGTTTATACACAAAAACAGAGTTTGTTGATAGTTGGAGTTATAAAACACACCCTTTTCATTTATACTGATTTTTAGTAAGTTACTGAGCAAATGTGAAGTAAAAAAAAAAAGAAAAGAACACTGAGGGGGTGTGACATTTAAAGGGCTGACAAAATTTTTAAAAACCTTTTTATACCATTTATTATTGTCAAATCATTTCAAAATGCCTCTTCAGTGTAGTGACGGTATTAAGGTATTTTTTCAGGAAAAAATTTAAAAATCGGTAATTTGATCAATTTTGGGTTACCAAGTCCCTTAATCTCTGTTAGACTGATCTGTTGCTGGTTTCATTAATCAGAAAAACATCTTTATTCTAAAAGTGATTTTCAGTTTCTGATATTTGTCTTGAGCTGCGGAGATTTATAGTATCATACCTATGTTGTTTTCGACGTATTGTTAGACCTTGCTGTATTTAGGAAGAAAATCATCTATAAGTGCGTTAGATAAAATTTTGAATTGGCTTAAAAGCATGTATAAACCAGTAATACCCATAGGATTCGACATTCGTCTTACGCTATGGAGGTTTACAGCATCATACCTCTGTACACTTTAATTTATTGTTAGATGTTGCTGCATTTAGGAAGAAAATCATCTAAATGTGCATCAGATAAGATTTTGCATTGGCTTAAAGCTTGAATAAATCACTAATGCGCGTGCGTAGTTTTCTACATTTGTTTTACGATACGGAGATTTATAGCATCATACCTCTGTTCTCTTCGATTTATTGTTAGATATTGCTGCATTTGGGAAGAAAATCACCTAAAAGTGTATTAGATAAAATTTGACATAGATAAACCATTAATGCACATAGTTTACGTAAAATACGACAGAAAAAAATTCGAAAGAAAAAGTGAGGAGTTGTAGAGAAGAGGAAGAGGATTTTCTGAGTACCAAAAGGGAAATGATCGAAAACTAAAAAGAGAGATATGCAATTTAGAAAGAAAGAAAGGAGGAGTCAGGCAATAGGTTAAAGAAAGGAATCACACAAGAATTGCGATGAGGAAACGACTTCAGCAGTAAGCAAGGTAAATGCTATATAAGTCTTCTTGTTTTTTTCCTGGTAACTGTTTTGAAGTTACATTGATTTGTGCTACTCTACTAGGAACTCGCAGATTTCACTTCAGTAAATGCATTCTTAATAATTTACTATTATTAGTCCAAAGGGGCTTTGTCCCTGAAGGACTATTGTTTTCGTTTTGCGATTTTGCGTCGGACTCATAAACGTCGGTTCACTTTTCAAACTGTTGCCACAAAATGTTAGAGTCCTGCATTATATTTGAAGAAATTAAATAATGAAAAATCTGCATAAATGATTGTCTATTTCTCGCATTGTGATAAAACAATGGTACATAGATCCATCGAATTTTGAATGACGAAATCCTACTGCGAATATGGGCATCTAAAATCCCAAATTTGGAATTTGTTTTATTATAGATTTTATATTTTGTAAAACTTTAACGAATTTTTGATTTACAAACTCAATGCTTTAAAAGCGAGAAATGGCAACGTTATATAAAAAAAAAAATACTTTTATCTCCAGCTCGCGAGACTGTGTATATCGGAAATTCTAAAGATATGCTTAATTTAACATTATTTTGCGATATTGCTCTTGAACTGAATTTTATGGTTTAAGTGCAAAGAACATGATATTTAATAAATAAAGGTAACACTCAAAACGTTAAAAAAACGCCCCTTTGGACGTAATTTAAAATCTGAAACATTTCAGATTTTTTTTAATCTTATTTTTAACAACCTTTCTAATACACATAATTTAAAATATACTTATGTTTATAATAATGATAATTTTTATGAGCAATTACATATTTCTGAGCGCGAAGCTTATGAATGTTCGCGTTTATTAATGAAAGATGTTTTTAAAGCCCACATATGTGTCAGTAGAGAATTTTTCAAGCCAATAGGCATCATTATATTCATCATTATGAAAAACTAGGAAAAAGTCTTGATGATTAGTCCCAGATATTCTAGAAATTCTTCAGATTGGCAGCTACATATGTCTTCTCTATAGATGCAGGCAACATAATGATGCCGCTATATCGCTGTCCAAATGAAAACAACATTCATAATTTTCCAATACTATCTTCGGGACGTAAGGTAATGAACATTTATGAATAACTATATATTACAATTACACTAATACATCAAGTGATATAATTCTTGCTTGCTTAAAAACGCATGTAAAATTAAGTAGAAGAAAAGAAAAATTAAGATGAATATTGGTGCGATAAAAGAAATCTGCACAAATATCTTTATTTGAAGGGTTTTAACTGTTTATCTTCTAGGATTAATAAGCGTTACTTGCCCTTTGTAGCGGAAGAAGATAAAATTTAAATATTTGTAACAAACCTTGTTTTAGTTCATGTATTATGTAATGACTAACACCACGAAGAAAATCGTACAGTTTTCCCAAAGAGAATACCGTGCTCTGGCAGAGCAAAAACGGTTGTTAATTCTCATGCGTGAAATAGTTTTTTGCAAAAGTAAATATTTTAAATGTACAAGTAAGTTTCGAATAATTAAGTCGTTCCTTCATTAAATGAGCACAGTCTCTACGTATTGTTATTGAGTTTGGAATATTACAGTAACTTACTCTTTTTTCTAGAGTTCGATAGTGCTGTATTGCAGGGCTCGTTTTTGATATTTTAATAGGCTCTGTAGCTAGAATGTGAATGTCAGACGATATTTTTTTAAACTAGTCGGCCTGTCGTACTACTTCACTCAAAAACTATTCCAGATGTTAAACCAGGATTTCAGTATGAATTGCAAGCACAGAGATTTGGCGTTTGCATTAAAAACTAAAATCTGACGGTTATGATGAAATTTATTGGTAATACTTAGATTAAAAGACTACTTATATATTTGTTAGCCCGAAAGAGACGTTAGTCCGAAATGGGATATTAGTCTCAAAACAACATTTCGCGTTGAATCACTATAAACGGCATATCACTTTTCATATTGTTGCCACCAAATATTATCGCCCTGTATTATATTTAAAGAAATAAAATAATGAACAATCTGCATGAACGTATGCACGTTTCTCGCATTGTAAAAGAAACAACAGTACCTAAAACCATCAAATTTTGAATATCATAGTTCTCTACTCGCACATGAGTACTGGAAGCCCGAATTTTGAGTTTATAATTTTTTATTATCTATTTTATATTTTATAAAACCGTTACGAATTTTGTTTAACAAACTCAATGATTTCAAGCATTGGGAACACTTTACTGCTGGAGCACTGGAAACACTATTCACTTTGTAAAAAACCTTAACAAACCCTTTTGGGCAACCGTTAAACTCTGAAACCTTTCAGGTTTTTCAATTTTATGGAAATAGCAATAGTACTTTTTAATGCTTTTTATAGTATTTTCTGTTCCCAAAATAAAATGCAGAATCAAAAGCCAAAACATTCAAAACTGAATTTTCTTTGAGTCAAGTTTTAATGTTAATTAACATTAACACATTTATATTTATGAATTGGCAGCGGTAAATATTATATTTAGTTCAACAGCAAGCTACCTATCTATATAAATTTGCACATTTTAAAATTCTTTTAGCTATTTTAATTGAACCAGTTTTAATGTTAAACTATTCTCCCAGGCAAGTTAAGGTTTCCAGAATTAGAATGAGAATTTACAACGCAAGTGCTTTGAAATTTTTGTTTTGTTTAGTGCTAAAGGAAATTTGGAAAGGTTTAATTAATCAAAATTAATAATCTAATCTAATCCTTTTATAAAGCACTACAACTTCTGTTACACTTAACAAAATCAGTGTGTTTATAAGACCTCGCAGCATATTACATCGTCTTTCAATAAAACTGAAAAGGTAATTTAACCCTTTTGTAAAGAATTACCTTTTCTGACTCATTTGTCAAAGTTAAAAAGGTTGTACGGAAGTATCTGTTTTAAATGTTAACTCTGGCTCTGTCAAAACAATCAGGCGGCTTTTCACTCCATCTTAATCTTCCATTGAAGTAACACCGAACGCAGAAGATTTATAAGCGTTTTTAGGGGTTTTTCAGCGTGACAATTATTTACACACCTATTGTAATAACAAAAAAGGTCATGCTGATTGCATGATTAACAGAAATTTAAAGTAAAATTTTAATTTTTAAAATAAAGAGATTTACAAAACAATGCGTGCCTATAAGTTTTGGCTCAGGCTCTCAATTCACGTTAGTAAACACGGCTATCAAAGGCTAAAGCCGAATCAAATAAATTCAAAAATTGAGAGAAAATGGTATCGAGACAATCAGCAAATACAGCTAAAAGCTCTCTCTTAAACTCAAGAACTATGTACTTATATACATGAACTAGTTTGCATTTTAGTTGAAAGCGATGAGAGTAGAAGTAATAGTAAAGAAAAAATGTTAAGATAACTGGTTAATAAACGTGAAACCTTACAAATTACTCTAAGCCTATTATAAAGCATTATCTATTCCGACTCAGTGAACAAGGTTAGTAAGTTAGTGTAACTCTTTCGCAAGGCATTACCTCTTCTGGTCTGACTCTCAGGTCCTGGTAATGTGTGGGTCCTCATCACCACTGCCTGACTCCTTCCTTTGGCATTGGCCGCGTAAACAACAACGACGAAAGTGCTCCCTGAGCTTAGGCCCCGGACTTCGAAGGTCGGATGGCTGGGGGAGCTGAGATTGACCTGCAGTCTGTGCAGGGCCGTGTCATGAACTTCGAGAATGAACTGTTGCTGCAGCCCCCCATCATAACCCGGACTGCATTCGACCAGAATCGACTCCTCCGTCTGGTTAGACACGCTGCAGTTCTCCACAGAGTCAGGAGGACCTAGAGAGAGAAAGAAATCCAGAAACATTCATTTTTGGTGCGTCTGAAAATGCGTCTGAAAATCTTGAGAACAACACCAAGCGGATGTAATGAATTTAGTGATTGTACTTAGAAGATACATGCGCACAATTCATTTATGGTGACAAAAAAGAATTTTTGAGGGTGTCTCTTATTTTGCATCGCACAGCGGAGAGGTGGAAATTCTCAGGACATTTACACCTCTGCGCTGTTCCACCACTCTGCACTGCGGTCTGTTTCCACCACGTTCTACCTTGAAAATTTTTTGAAGAATGCATTCTAATTTCTTTTATGTAATACCGAATCAATTTTTGAAATGTTTCGCGAATACCCTTGCGTAATAATAAACCTAACAAAGAATCTTCATTGTTTGCACGATCAAACAAAGAAGATAAAGATCTTCAGAAGTAAAACTATTGAGATATCTAACGCGATTTATTCTAAACACAGCATTCCGTTCGCTTCAATTTTTATGGAGGCTTGGGCATTTATGAGAGGTGATCTGCTGTTGAATCCTATAGAATCTCATACAATGTTCCCTACTGGTGAAATATGCCGGGGACAAATACCAACTCTTTGTCTTTGCTCCTTTATTGGTGTGGACATCACGACCACCATCATTTTTGCCTGAAAACCGGTCTTCGATGCAGTATTGTAGTTTGACGAAACGTTACTGAGATGTTAGAAAGAACGTTGCGAGGATGTTGATGTGCCAGTAATCCGTAGTAATAAAGGTGTTACATCGTGGTGGTGTTACATTCGGCGGCTGTTTTATGATTTGCCACTGCCCGGCCAATATTGCCGCTCACAAAGTCGGCCAGCGTCTTGGTGTCATGACTGTTCTCTTTCAGTGTTGCCTGCTTATGAGGTGACATCGAGTACCTTTTCTTCGTATCCTATGTCTTTCCTGCAGCCAGTTTCTGCATAGTGTTTTAATCTCTAAAACATTCTCCTACACTCACTCGACAATATAACGATAAGAAGTATTGGGATCTTTCATGGAAATAATGCGTCATCTATCAAGATTGCACAGGTCCACTAATAGCCGAATCGTTAAAGCCTCTTAATACAAGAAGTTCGAACGGGGAAGTCGACCTCAGGCGAGCCGACAGGTTGCTTTTCCCCATGTGTAACGTGAATACAAGCTAGTTTCCGAAAGGAATCCTCCACAAAGGAATCTTTTCCTTTAGAAGATACACACCGTGTACTTTGCTTCATTAAAATAATATAGCCTAACGTAACCTTCCAGAGTCACTAATGTGATTGTAAGGTTGTCTTATATGACGTAGAAATGTCCTTACTCGCTGCTGAGCAGAAATCCCCATTCGGTTTGTAAAATAATCACACCTAATGTACAGTGGATGTGTTTAGAGCTCTGGTCTACATAACTTAGGAATTCATGGGTAAGTGATGTTGAAATGTTAATCACTCATTCTGTATTATGTAATTTATATATGTATTCTAAGAAAAATTGTCTGCACATTCCTTCCAGATTATGTGTTTTTTTAAGAATGATATGATATATATTTTAGTAAGTTGTATGGGATTTAGAAACACCTATTGTTAAATAAAATAATGCTACAGATATTCATAATGGATATGTTTAGGTTGATGAAAGTGTATTTTAGTTAGACAGATTACTAACAAACAAATATTTAAATAATTAATAAAGGTGTTTATTGCTTTTTAGCCTTTCAATCTGTTAATTAATTATAGACTGTTTACGTTTCAATGAATTGCAAATTAAAGGTGTTGGTTTTCCCGGAGGGCAAACATCAGAGAATCTGTTATATGTAACTCCGTCCAGAGAACAAATATCTCACATTTCGGGCAGTAATGACACTTTCCAGAGACGATAAAAGCATGGTATTGTTAACATACAGTTAGTATAAGGCATAAAAAATTATGAGCAGACAGTTCTACGATCGCTTTAGACGTCTCAAGCCGGAAGAAAGGGTCTTGTGACTCCAACCTAGCACAGATATGTAGCAGATTTCTGGAATTTACTTAAAAAATAAGCCTAGGATCAGAAATATTTTTTTTCCAGATAGATTGAAACAACTCAACACGAATTTCTGACGATTTCATGCATAGCAAATATTTAGAAATAAAATTGAATCCATTTGCTTCAAAAGCGAATAAACCATTATTTTTTATTCATGCACATACCTTTCTATCTCTCATTACGCAATTACCTACTTCTTTCCGACTGTTGTCAGTATCAGGTTCTCCGCCAGATGGCTCTCTCGCGGCAGTGAGGGAGGGAGAGAAGCGCCGTTCGCTTCTGCATTTTTCATGGGAACCTTTTCGCTCGCAGTAATACTGTTAAATAATCTTTGATCTGCCGGCAATCACAGCGTTTTATTCACAAAGAAAGAAAGTTATTCAGTCAGCTATCGCAGATATAGTCCCCCCCCCTTCTTTTTATTTTATCTTTTTACTTTACTCATCAATTGCTTGTGGAACAGTGTTTGGAAATTATGAAATTGGTTGTATGCGGAAGTCCTTCCAAATGTTTGCACTCCCACTTCGTTAAAGTTAGAATTTCACTAAAAAATTTGTTTTCGCATTTATTAATCCAGTGTGTCATCTAGTTATCAAAAAAAAGAACAAATGTGAAGGGAGGAATTATGAATTATTAATATTACATTCAAAAGTTAAGAAAGCATCATCCGATTCTCAACTATTATAAAAAGTAGTTAAACTGTCAGATATTTATGTCTACACGGAGCTTAATTTTATCTATTTTACATTTTCCATCATACATTACAAATGATCTTGTGAGCTTTTTTTACCTCTCGACATACTATATCCACCCCAAATAATTCCTTCATCCAACCCGAAGAAATCACGGAATGTGTTTTTAGCTAACTTCAAATTCGTCGGATTAGATGCATTATTTGGATTACTTCAAAGCACCCGACAGCTATATGCCTAATGAAAGAAGGAAAGCCTTTGCAGAGGAATTTCTAACAGAAAGTGTCTTCTATTCACGTTACACATAAGGAAATCCACCACACAACGAGTCCGTTCGTTGAGATTTGATTCCGGGTCGAAATATCACTGTGCAACTATTTTAGCGCTCGACCACTGATGAGCCCTAATTTTGCTGGATGTCATTCCTCGAAAACTTTTTTTTTTCTCTGTCTTTGAGAACTTATGTTTTTCTGACAATCTGACTTTTAAGAACTTAAAATCCGCGTTACATACGCCTTGGCTTCAATTACATTCGATAGGCCTTATGCGCGTAGGTAGAAATAGCTACAAAAAGGTCCCGTAACTAAAGAATCTCGCATACACCACCTATAATATGTAATCACTTGATACAAAATTACAAACTTTAATTTGCCACGTGCCCTTCCTGTAACTGAAACTTCTTCACTTAAAAAACTAACCGAATTATATCCTCTGCATTACTACAAGATCTTGTCCAGTCGTATTTATGAACTTAAGCAAAATGTTCTATTCTTAATATAATAACCCTTTACTGAAAGACGCACTTAGACTATACAAGCAATTTCTCTATATTCAAGCTTCTGTTTCTACTGAATATAAGATAAAGAAATATTCATCGTCAAGCGCCGAAAGGCCCACATTGATCTGAACAGGTAAAATTGCTCTTCGCGAAATAGACCAGCAACAAAGTTATATTTGTAGTTTTGACGTTGAATGTTGATATAGTTTAACTTTAAAAGCCGTTTTACTCTAAAAGCTAATGTTTCGAATATATTAATTCATAATTTCTAAACTTGATTACTGAATGCTGTTAATAATATACATTTTTTTATTTATTTATTAGTCCTTCCTGCCATCAAAATAATGTTTTGCAAGATGAGACGAAATTTAATGTTACATTGACTGTAAGTCTGTTGAGAATTACATACTCGACAATAAATATTTTTATTTTCTCTCTACTAAAGGCTAGGTTGGGTTCTCTAAAGATGCCACTGAATGTCCTAATAAAAAAAAAAAAAAGATTCACCAAATACAGTATTATTTACCTTGCTGATTGGCTCTTTCTTTGGAAAGGATACTACAGTCTAGCACGTTAGATTTTTATCAAAATAAGCATTATGTTTTCTTAATCATGAAGGCGTTCTCTGTCATAAGAAAATAATTAACATGAACACGCTTTTCGTGAATGAGCCGACGTATATATTATTTAAGACGCTTTAAAATATGCTTACCTGCTGGAACGATTGTGTAAATGCAAGGCTCCACCTGGGAACCGACGATGTTCGATCCCCAGCACAGCAAAGTTCCATAATCGAACTCCGTCCTCGGTATGTAAGTGGCCGTGGATATGGTACCTTCGTTGACGAAAGTGACAACTTCCAGACTCTCGGCCGTATTGTTGAATTGCCAGCGAAAGGAAACTTCACGCGGATCTGCTTCAACTTCGCAGACCACGCGCACTGCTTCGTGACGAGCGGCGCCATAGATGATCTTCTGGCCTGGCTTGCACAAAGGAGCGACTGCAACAGTGAAAGTTTAATAATGAACATAGCAGTGTAAATTACAGAAATAAAGACCTCAACACATTATAATTAACCATTTACGGCCCAGTGGTCTCGGAGTAATTAGAAAAAAATGTTATGTAAAGAAACAAAAAACTTTGCAATTTGAAATTTTCAGATACCGTTTAACCTCCCAAAAAGATTTTGCCATTAAAAATCTTTGGTACTTAAGTATTATCCCATAGACCATGAAAGCTGAAACACGAAAGTTTGCAGTTTGGTTGAGCTTCGGTTTATATAATTACGACAAAGCACTTGAGAGCTATCTTCCTAAGGTAAAGGATGCCTTCATGGAGGGCTTTCTGAGGGAAACTGGCGCGTACACACGTTACACATGTAGAAATCCACCAAAACTCCCATACAGCCAACCCGTTTGCGGGCTTCAAGCCTCAAACCGAACTAACAGTATTCAGCGACTTACCGCTCGGCCCCGCTAGTGTCGAAAGTTGGGGAGCACCAGTCGTTTCTGCAGAATTCTAAAGGAACTGACTTTTCTTTGTTTAATAATAAACAATCAGTATTCGACACTCTTCATTTTTGCATTTCGTTAAAAAGAAAAACACTTTTAAACTAGTTTAATTTTAATTTTAGTTTAAAGCGCTTTTGTTTAGTACAGGCATCGGGCAGGTGACTGTTCCAATCTATTACTGTTTTGTCGCCCATATTCCGCTGACCTTATGGTGTATAATACGCATGTTTCTGATTGTAGGTTTGGTTTGATTTAGTTTATTACGGCAAAGCACACTAGGGCTATTTGCCCAAAGAGAGGAATGCCTTCCTGAAGGATTCTCTAAGGGAAACTGGCTCGTATATACGCTACATATGGAGAAAACTACGGAAACTCCCGTCCAGCAAGCTCTGCTTAAAAAATATGTATATATTTTAAAGCAGAGATAGGAAATTTCTCTTTCTATTTTTATACGAAAAGGTATTAGTCTGGAAATGGGATTTTGAGTCTGTTAACTGTGCACGGCTTATCGCTTTTCAAGCTGTTGCCAACAAATATTATTGTCTTGTATTATTTTTAAAGAAAATAAACAATGAAGAATGTATGTAGCTATCTCCTTCCTCATTGTGAAAAAACTACGGTATCTAGAGCCATCCAGTTTCGAATAACGGAGTCCTTCACCCGGACATGTGTTCCTGGAAACCTAATTTTTAATTCTGAATTTCGTTTATTGCTTATTCCATATTTTGTAAACTCAACTATTTGAAACTATATTATTAACAAACTCAACTACTTGAAAGCAAGCAGTGGCCACACTGTTCGAAATTAAACTCTCCAGTTTTTTTACGAATTCTTTCAGATTTAACCAGCAAACTCGCCCCTATACGCAATGTGCTGCCGTGGCTGGAAATAAGGTATTTTTGTTTTCCACGTGCCAGTTTATTCCACTCAGAATACTTACAGCATAAAATACTTTCAAATTTAATCTGGAAGTTTATTAAGTAATAAAAATAAGAGATTTAAAAGCAATAAACACATTTCTTAAGAATATTACTTTTTTTGATTTTTAATGTGATTGATTTAAATAAACATGTATTCAAATATGAGATCTTAATTAGATGTTCAGTACTTTTGTGAAATTACATAAACTGGGCGAATTAAGATCATTATATACTTTTCTTCTTCATGGCAACTATTTTAGGCAGCTGGTTTCATGAGCAGCTAGATTAAGAAGAAATAATTTAACGAATATAAAAATATGGATAGCAATGCTGTTTTTAAATTTCTTGTGATTTTTCTGTTGATTTGAATTTTATGTGGCGTAAGTAGGAAAAATGTGATATTTAATAGATAAAGTTAACACATAAAATGCGGACGAAAAAGACTAAAAATACTTTTTGCTAGCTATCTTACTAAGAAAACTGGATATTAATAAACTCAGAAAAGACTTAAAAATGTAAATCGCGTGCCAATACTTAATGCAGCATCAAGAATTCTAATTTTAGAATTTGTGCAGCTTTTAAAATTTTTGTTGTTGTGGCATGAGTGCGAAGAAAACGGTACTAATAGGAAAAGCTAAAAAGACTAAATAAATAAATAAGTAAAGTGTTAGCAGGAGTGAATGGAAGAGGAGACTGGTAGACTTGGAGCCCAGCAAGAGCATATAAAACATTAACAAACCCTTTCGGACAACTGTTAAAATCTAAAACATTCAGATTCTGGTCGAAAAGTTAGCCAAAAAACACGATTTCTTCCGTAGTGTAAAGAACCTAAATGTTTAAATATTACATCATTACATTGACAAACAATTTAATGATATTTATTTGGTGTTATATTCAAAATTTATTATTATTCATTATTATTAAAAATTTATTATTTATTATATTTTTCGCCAGCTCTTTCTGGAAAAAACAGGCGCTGGTTTAAAATGCCTAAGCTTATGTTTTAAGCAACACAAAATAAACTGAAAATGCTAGAACAAAACGTGCAAAAAAGTTTAAATTTTTTATTTTGTATTTAAATAAAAAATGCTAATTTCTTATATTATTTCATGAATTACTTTGTATAATTCATATCAGCAGTATGTACTACTTTGAAGAAAATTAGAGGAGGACTTCGTCGAGGCATTTCGGCCAACCAACTGGATGATAAATATTAAGTTATGTAATGTAACATTCCATATATTTCGCAAAAAATCCCCTGTGTTACTCCTCAAGTGAATTAAAACTTAGTTAAGTGGATTAATCAAATTTGATTACATCAAAATCCTTGCGCTTAATATAAAAGAAGAGAAAAAGCTATTACAGAAAGCATATTTACCCAAATTACACAAACGTATTTAAGGTAAAGAAAATAAACAGTTTTTTTCAATTTTCAGTTCATTGTTTTGTTCAAACTTCTTCAATAAATAAATAAATAAAATAAAACTCTGTAATCCATTTACGACGTAAAATAAAGTAAATAAAATTATTCATAAATCAGCTTCTTGTTTACTAAAACTTTAATATTATTATTTTGTTATCGAATCTGTAGCCATTTCTTAATACGTTTAAAAAATTGTCAAGAGCTGCAGTTTCATCTGTTTTAAGGGGTTACTTTAATTTTTTAATAATTAGTTTTAATTTTGAACAGCTTTCCTATATTATTTTTGCTTGCTACCTACAATAAATAACCTGCCAGAAGGCCAACAGCCGAGCGGTAAAGTCGCTGAACATTGGTAGTTCGGTCCGAGGTTCGAATCTCGCGAACGGGCTGTCTGCATGGGTGTTTTCGTGGTTTTCCCCATGTGTAACGTGTATATGAGCCAGTTCCCCTTAGAAAGTCCTCCACGAAGGCATCTCTCCTCTTAGGCAGGATATCCCTCGAGGCTTTGCCGTAATTAAATAACCTAACCTAACCTAAGCTGCCAGAATGAGTTTTAGTCCGCCAGCCGCCGAGTGGTAAAGTCGCTTAACATTCGTATTTCGGTCTGAGGTTCGAACCCGCGAACGCGTTGGCTGCATGGCGTTTCGTGGTTTTCCCCGTGTGTAACGGGTATACGAGCGAGTTTCATTTAGAAACTTCTCCGTGAAGGTATCCTTCAGTTTTAAAATATATTATGAACAGAATGAGTTTTTAGGATCGCGTTTTATGTAAATGAGGTAGAATCAGTATTTAATGGGAAGTCTCGGTCACTTCCGAGCAGAGCTTAGTAGAGCGTGTTCTGCCTTCTGGCATGTCGTTGTTTTAAGCCTAATCTTACTACGTTCAGGCGTATTCCGTGCCTGTTAATATTCGTCGGTGAGGTTTAATTAAGGGCCAACTCTGTTAGTTATTTCTGTACAGTTTCAGATAATTTTTAGTTAATTAGCATTAGCTGAGTTTCTTACTTTCTGTCTTAAGTTAAAGCCAAGTGGAGTATTCCTGCAAGCCCGAGATAGGCCAACTGTAAATATTATTAAGTTAAATCAAAAGGTATTTTAACTCTTCTTTGGAATTGTCACTTTTAGGAGTCAGCGAATAGTCGCTATACACGTCTCAAGTATTCTTGTTGCCAAAGCAATGAATTTAACTAGAATCTTATAAGTTTAAACAAAACTTCAATACCATCTACACGACTTTCCAGACTGACTGCAGCTAGCACAGGGCATATAGTCAAGATTTAAAATGGATCGAGATTTGAAATGTCTATGTTATGGTTTTACCCTTTTGGCAACTGGTGGGTATATTTGCCAACAGCTTGGAAAATATAATCATCCCCTAAGGGTATGATTATATTTTTAAATAATAAAATGCAAATTGGGAAGTACATTTGCACGTAATTGACTAAGATGTTGATAGATATAAGATTTACTGAATATTAAAATATTCATATCATTGGGGTTAAGTTAGGTTATTTGAATATCGCAAAGAATATAAGGGCTATCAGCTAAGGGTAGAAATGGTCTCCAAATCAAAGCTCTGAGGATCATCACAAACGCTCTCTATTTCATTCGAAATAGAAGCCTGCATTCAGATTTGAAGATAGAATCCATTAAAAAATTCTTCGCCAGGATAAATGAAAATTTCTTCAAGAGATCTATAGGAAACAACCCCGCAAACTTCGCTGACATCCTGGCCTTTGAGATTCTGAAGGAGGATATAATTATTAGACCGTATGCTGCTCATTTCCTTGACGGTTTCAGAGCTTAGTATAGCGTGTGACCACGATAACCAACTCATGTGACAACACAAATCTTCTGCTCGCTGACAATTACTATTGAAAATTGTGTTTCTTCAAATTCGCGACTCTGAAAGACTTCCTATATTCTCTCATATGGGACGTAGTATTCGGTGCATTTTGTTTTGTATATAGTTTGCTAGTAACGCCCATATTTCAGTATTCGTCGAAAGAACCCACCTGACCAAGCCTCCACACTCCCAAGCCTCCGACTTGCTTTCAAGAGACATAGTGCTCCAAACGTCTTCCCCGACAAATTAATTTCATCTACAGGATATATTTAATTACGGATTTCACAAAGTTCAGGCCCTATACGAGAATCTTAAGTTACTAGTAACAGCAGGGAAAAATATCCCCTGCTGTAAGCCAGTACACCGACAAAAGCATTAAAGTACTGATGAATTCCTGGAGGACTTTCTGAAGAAACTTGGTTCGTGCTTACTATGCATATGAAAAGATATCCCGAAAAGCAGCATGCAGCCAGCCTGCTTTGTTGGATTCCAAGCTGGTTCTAACTCCGTGTATTCAGCAGTCAACGTAGCCACTTCTGGGACAAAAGTTCTAAAAGAAATTGGCACCTATTTAGGCTACACATGATAAATTAAACTAAAATGCCCATTTGGCTAATCCCTTCGTAGTGAATATTAGTATTTAATTCGATATATTAGTGTTCAGAACTCCACTTCACTCAGTAACTGCTGAATGTCGAACGCATCTCAGCAAAATATTTAGATATTTTGTCCCAAGATTTTGCAGTTTTCACATAAGCTTGAATAACATTGGTTAGTACAGGTAATTGAGTAGCAGTTGCTTGTGCAGTATCTGAGAAGTATTAGTTCTACTTTGGTTAATAAAAAAAAATAAATGGTGTAACAAGAAAGATGGTCAGAGCTTTAAGAGGTGAAAGAGATAATAACAATCTTCATAATACGATTTGTGGTGAAATGTGAACCCAAGAAAGGCAGTAATTATCAAAAACACGGAAAATAAAATATCGTTTTAATAGATATGTATATTAAATAACGCTTGAGATTTACAAAAATTGCTCAAATAAATGGCCACCAACTGCAGTTAATGCATCTTAACGGCACCAGAGGGATTGGTGTGCATTTTAGAAAAAACTCTGCATGTCAAGTACTTTTGCCATTTGTTTTGTTTGTTTTTTGATTTTCGAACACCACGCATATTTTAGAATATTGATTCGTGCTACAAGATCTCCAGGAAAGCGAATGTATGCCTCTTAAAAGACGGGTTCTATCAGCTGCAAACAGTTTCGCCAGCTCAGACGCTTTCAAAAAGGTCCACTAGTATATATCTGTTTTTGCAAACATTTTAATCAACTCATTTTTCAAACCAGATTATTCAAACCCCATATAGCGCAAAAAAGAATTTGAAGTTAGGATGATCATGTTATACTGAATCGGAAGTTCCAAAATATACTTACATTGCACACGGAGGAAAACGTCGTTGCTTTCACCCGTGCCTTCAGTGTTCGTTGCAGTACAAGTATATTTTCCTCTGCTGAAGCGTTGTACTTTCTGCAGCACGAGGCTTTGGTTCGACACTATGATGCCAGTGGTTGTGTTGGTGTGGAGTTCCCGATCTTCAAATTTCCATCCTATTTCTGACACCCAAGGGGAGGCCCGGATATTGCACTCGAAGTAAACGTCGTTGTTCTCCTGGATGTGTGCATGTCTCAACTTGCTGCCTAATCTCAGTGTCAGCTGAGGGACATCTAATAGATAAAAAATAAAAATGATCTGTATGAGTACTGCAGTACTGTACGAAGAAATTACAGATTAAAAAACTAAACAAGTCTTCATTAGATAAATAGAAACGGCATTACAAACACATGTTATTAATTAAATTAATGTTTGAAACAGTTTTAAAATATTATAAATTAACTGTATTTGCAATTATAACTGTCGTAACAGTAAAAACAGTCAAGAACGTTAGTCCTTGGTAGATTGTTCCCGTGTATGGGAAGCCGTAGTACGTTTAAATAATGTTGCATGTTAAGTCTTCTTCTTAGAGACATATATGCTTGACGTATTAGGTCTGATGCACAGATATTGCAAAACTTGCAGTATTACTAACATGGATAACAGCTCTTAAAGGCAAGATATAGAGTTCTGCACCATCGACGAGGCCGGCTGATTCACTGGAGCAGTAGTTGACACCTAAGGGGCCATTCAGGTCTTGTTGGGGAATTTATCTGTTTCATAACAACCAGAATGCATGCCTTCCGGGATGTATTTGTCAGAAATAACGAAGCTCAAAGGATCAAGAGTCATCTCGTTTGGTTTAGTTGATGATGGAAAAGTACACTACGGCTATTTTTCTAAGGGAAAGGATGCGTTCGCGGCGGGCTTTCTAAGTAAAACTGGCTCGTATGCGCGTTACACATGGGTAAAATCAAGGAAATGCCCTCGCAACGAGCCCGTTGATCTAGATTGGAACCCAGATCGGAAATTCGATCGCTAATGGGCTCAAGAATCATCTGGGTGGGGAAATTACTAGAAAGCGGGGTGACGCCAAGACCCTGTAAAGCGCTTAAGAAAAACTGTACAGTTTACGGATATAGCGAATATCCGTAAACTGTACACTAATGCTGTTGCGTTTACGTGTTCGTGGATTGGAGTGATTAACGACAAGACTAGATGAAGAATGAAAACAAAATTTATTAGCCAGCATTACTCAAGAGAGCTTCAAAAATACGTTTACAGTCGTCGAAAACCTGCAACAAACCCGCTGAAACAATCAGCAGCAAAGCCTTCATGCTATCAGGCTGTAACGGTGAAGACATCTTCACGGCAAAGTACTAGAGTACAGCTCCCGACTCGATTCGGTCCTTCTCCGAACTCAACATACTCTCGAAACTCTCCATGCCTCAACACGCGATGCACGCGACGATACACTCGATAACCTCTACAATGCACACTCTCGATGCAACAACTCGCATTACACTCGACAACATTCTGGGCCAAACCGGTAAGAATTCAATCTAGAATATTATCTCCCCGTCCATGTCATATCGCCTATTTTGTCGCCAAATGGGCGATTTCGCGTCATATATGGCAAGCCTGCCTGCTCTTGCTATTTTCTGGCAACCTTAGACCCACTTTGTGGGGAAGCTTTCTTAACGCAGCTGGGCATTTCGTAACAATATGTTCAGTAAATTGAATTACAAAATCATAGCTATAAAGCTATACAATTAGAACTACAAGTTGTAAGTATGTAGATAAAGTAATGCAAGTAAGCCGTAAAAAACTCAAGCTAAACAAAATACAAGAATTCAAATTTCTCTTACTTATGCGGAAATACCGCAATTTCACCAAAATCGCTCGCACAGTAAAGTCTAAACAGGGTCATCGACCGAGATGCTCAATTGCGAAACAGTAGCATCACTCTGAATGCAGTTAACACACGACCGCCTAGTGACGTGTGTTAAGAATATATGAAGTATATCGTGTGTCAAGATTATAAGATTATATGAAGTATACCGTGTGTTAAGATTATAAGATTATATAACTGTCGTGTGTTAAGATTATGTGAAGGAAAATGTAGGCGCTTCTGGAAGATTTATGAGAGGCCTTTTCTAGAGCTACCAAAAGGCATTTTACAGAAACTTCAAAAATGTCGCTAACTTGGTAAAGAGTTACTAAATGTCGCCAAATTCATGACACAAATTGCCACCAAAGCGTGGTTAGAAGATTTCGATCCACATATCCGTTCTACTAAGGCTAGCTTTAAAATTCTAATTTCAATCGACTAATAGCATCTACCACATTATGTATGAAATGAACGCATAGGAACAAAATTAGTGGCAGTAAAATCAAAATCAAATAAAACATACATATATTAAACATAAAATTATTAGATTTAATTGCAAAACACATTAAATAAGTAAAGAAGTAAAGAAAAAATTCTGATGTAGACTCCACTTGACTTCCTTGTACAGTTTTTTAATTATATACACTTGCTGCTGCAGTTCATTTAAACTTCTTTCCCCGAATTTTTTAACTTAATTAACCTATCTCTCGAGGTAAGTTGAAACTGACATCAAAAATTAAAAATGTTTAAATTAAATATCCCAGTCAATTTTTTATGCTACAGGAGACAACGTTTTTGTATTTCTATTTTTTCATAATGACTATAAAACTTTTCCATATATAAGTATAAGAAACGAGACACCGCATTAAAGTTAGATTTATATGTGTCCAAAATTATATAAAATATATATATATCTACCCACCCCTTTGGCCGGTTAAAGTTACTTAGAGCCTCTCTCTCTCTCTCTATATATATATATATATATACGTATGTGTACTTTTGGTACTGCCGATTGCAATAAAAAAGGAAGGTGCGCAACCAGATGTTATAGCAGTCCCATATATGAAATTTCATCTTTTGATGATTAATCGTTTTAGACTAATGCGAGTCACATACTTATATAAGTACCTACAGATAACGCACAAAAAAAATCTATTTTAAATCCTTTGTAAATCCATTTTACAATCCGTTTTGGAATAAAGAGTGTTTTATGCTGTCGTTACATACTGGCTTTATGGAAATGGATTCAGAAACTGTCAAAATTTGCATTTGCTTTGAAATACGGTATCTCAAATTTTTCGCTATTACAACAGTTCCTTTACTTCGCACAACGAAGCAAAAATTTTAAAGCATCACAAAAATACATGAAAACATGTTAAGTACAAAATTCTAAAACAATCTATAATTTAAAAAAAAAAATTGCCGTTTTTTTAACGTTTTGTATGTTACCTTCACTTAGTTCATTTCATGTTCTTTGCACTTAAACCATAAAATTCAATTCAACAGCAGCATCGCAAAATTATTTTAAAATGAGCCTGTCTTAAAATTCCCGATTCACAGTCTCGCGCGCTGGAGATAAAAATGATTCTGTTTCATACAGTGTTGCCATTCCTCGCTTTGAAATCATTGAGTTTATTCATCATAAATGTCTGACAAAATATGAAATAGATAATAAAACAAACTCTATATTCCAAATTAAGGCCTACAGATGTCCACATTTGGTGAAGGATTACGTTATTCAAAATGTGATGGCTCTACGCACCGTTGTTTTATCACTATGCGGGAAGTATACATACATTTATGCATATTATTCATTATTTACTTTATTTAAATGTAATACAGGGCTGTAATATTTGGTGGCAACACTTTAAAAAGTGTAAAAGCGCAGAGCGTGAATCAACGCAAAATGCCGAAACGAAATCAATAGCCTTCCTGGGCTAATGACCTTTCGGCTAGTAAAATTAAATGGAAGCTGATCGTTGAGTCAAGGCTGGTATTCATTAGTAAATTACGGAATCATGATTACTAGTACGGCGCGGTGAATTATCAGTATTTGTGTTTCCAGATTTTGTAATATAAATTTAAGGTAGTAGTAGATTCTCTGACTTGGCTAATTGCGAAGTCACTTACTTGATAAAGATTTTATGTTTCACTCAAAGCCCATACTTGTCAAGTAGCATGGATAATAGATGCGTAGTAATATAAACGGACAATTAAAAATTTTTTGACTACCGTAAGGATGATTTTAATAACAAGATAAAATCGAAAGCCATCAGCAGCCTTTGCTGTCATTAATTATCGGTGACATTTAGTTTGATAGAGATAACGGGATTGCACTCATAGGTCATCAGACTGATGTACTTAATTTAGATTAAATACAATTAAACCGAAAACAACGGTAAACAATACGGCCATTGTTTTATAGCTGACTTGTATGTTTAAAATTACTCTGTGAGTTAGTGAATTGGCAGTAAATAACAAGGCACATGGGTGATTAACAAATCGTGACACAGCGTAACGAAACACTCCAAACATTTTGGGAAGACTCCGGTAAGGATATTTCTAAAATGAAAAATTTGCAAACAGTAAGTGTTAAAATTACTAACCTCACATCACTTGCTTTCAGTTTCTGTGCACCTCATTTTAAGTAAGAAAGAGCTGACTGATTTTTCTTAAAATGTACATTTTGAATTTATCTCTTTATTTATCGGACCATTCAATCGTTCGTGAAATGCTCCAATTTAGGAAACAAATTAGAAATACTCTTCAAAAAAATTTTTAAGTGGAAAACATAAAACAGAAATAAAATAACATGTTATCGTCATTAAAAAATAGAAAAATAACTATTTATTTCTCATCAAAATCTTCTAGTAGAAATAACAAAACACTGGATCAAAAGAGGCAGAGGGCAGCAAAATTATCAGAGCAAAGAAACAAAATACCAAATAACAATAGTAATCACCGTTTTGCCTGCAAAGACAATGAATTCTTATACGTCTCCATTTCCTCCTGGGGTTTCTATTTACGATGTGGAAATGAACAATAAAATACTACATGCAAGATAAGGAAATCCGAGAAAAACAGAAAGGAACCATCTTTAATATTCAACAGTCCTAACCAAGTTTATATCTTGATACTTTTAACGTGTAATGCAATTATTTTAAGATTTTTTAATTATACTACAGTAAAGCATTATTATCCAGCTAAATGTAAATAGTCCTCAGGCAAGAGTCGAATGTGATCTAATTTTATGACTCCGAACGTCGATGAGATCATAAAATGTGATCGTCTACTCTCTTGAAAGAATTGAGAATAAATAATTAAACAAATACAAGTTCTTTCGTTTTTTGATTCCAAGATTATAATTTTTCAACCAATTATCAACTGCCATTGAGTTTAACA